ACAATGCTAAATCTAAACCACTGTCATTCACCTTTTCTGCTAAAGCGACTAGCATTAGCTGAAATCCATCTGCACAGTTCTCACAATCTCTTTCAACGCAAGATTTTGTCTCTATTTTTGCTTCTTTTTTTTGTTTAATTTCTTATCTATTGTTGAGAAGTGTCCTTTGTCAGTACATTTTATTGACTGGGTCCACACGTGCAATCTGTAGTCACGGACCAATCCTTTGTCTCTCACTCTGAGCCGCTGTGTGCACAATGCGTAGCCATAACTCAGCGGTTATAAGAACGAAAATCAATGGTCATTCCCCTTTTAGCCCAGTGCTCATCGGCCACCTCGTGATTGCTATCATTTTTAGAGAGCTCCAATCAGTTAGTGCGCTGCATACTGTAGCAGGTGTGTGTGCGGAGGGGAGATAACGGCAGGAGAAAGCTACCAGAGCAGAGGGGGAGATTGCATTTGTGTGGTGGGCTCTGTTTTCTCTCCTTCCTCTGCAGTGTGTGTGTGAAAAGCTTGTGTGTTTCCGTGGTAAAGGGCAGGTAAAGTCAGGCGCCAACTGCTGGGTGAAGATTGATGGCCCTGAGCAGCACCATCTTAACTCCCTAAACCTGCAGACTGTCCAAGGGCAGAGCAGTGGATGTGTTGGTGCTGCATGGGAACGTTTGAGTCTGCGGCGGCGGCGGCTGCGGCGGCTGCGGCGGCTGCGGCGGCTGCGGCGGCTGCGGCGGCTGCGGCGGCTGCGGCGGCTGCGGCTGCGGCGGCTGCGGCGGCTGCGGCGGCTGCGGCGGCTGCGGCGGCTGCTTCACCTGAACCTCGTCTTCATTCATTCATAAGGATTTAATAATGGCATTAGTCTGAACGGAAGACTTTTATTCTTACTGTGCATGAGTCTATTCTCTAGAGCAGCCATTCCCAAAGTCACTAACACCACGGCCCCCTTAAAAATCTGACGGGTCTGCGCGGCCCCCCGAAATAACTCCCTCAGACCTCCTCACTCTCTCAGACCTCCTCACTCCCACAGACCTCCTCACTCTCTCAGACCTCCTCACTCCCACAGACCTCCTCACTCTCTCAGACCTCCTCACTCTCTCAGACCTCCTCACTCCCTCAGACCTCCTCACTCTCTCAGACCTCCTCACTCCCACAGACCTCCTCACTCTCTCAGACCTCCTCACTCCCTCAGACCTCCTCACTCTCTCAGACCTCCTCACTCTCTCAGACCTCCTCACAGACTCAGACCTCCTCACTCTCTCAGACCTCCTCACTCTCTCAGACCTCCTCACTCTCTCAGACCTCCTCACTCTCTCAGACCTCCTCACTCTCTCAGACCTCCTCACTCTCTCAGACCTCCTCACAGACTCAGACCTCCTCACTCCCCCAGACCTCCTCACAGACTCAGACCTCCTCACTCTCTCAGACCTCCTCACTCCCACAGACCTCCTCACTCTCTCAGACCTCCTCACTCTCTCAGACCTCCTCACTCTCTCAGACCTCCTCACTCCCTCAGACCTCCTCACTCTCTCAGACCTCCTCACTCTCTCAGACCTCCTCACTCCCCCAGACCTCCTCACAGACTCAGACCTCCTCACTCCCTCAGACCTCCTCACTCCCTCAGACCTCCTCACTCTCTCAGACCTCCTCACTCTCTCAGACCTCCTCACTCTCTCAGACCTCCTCACTCTCTGACCTCCTCACTCTCTCAGACCTCCTCACTCTCTCAGACCTCCTCACTCCCTCAGACCTCCTCACTCTCTCAGACCTCCTCACTCCCTCAGACCTCCTCACTCTCTCAGACCTCCTCACTCTCTCAGACCTCCTCACTCTCTCAGACCTCCTCACTCCCTCAGACCTCCTCACAGACTCAGACCTCCTCACTCCCTCAGACCTCCTCACTCTCTCAGACCTCCTCACTCTCTCAGACCTCCTCACTCCCTCAGACCTCCTCACTCCCTCAGACCTCCTCACTCTCTCAGACCTCCTCACTCCCTCATACCTCCTCACTCTCTCAGACCTCCTCACTCCCTCAGACCTCCTCACTCCCTCAGACCTCCTCACTCTCTCAGACCTCCTCACTCCCTCAGACCTCCTCACTCTCTCAGACCTCCTCACTCCCTCAGACCTCCTCACAGACTCAGACCTCCTCACTCCCTCAGACCTCCTCACTCCCTCAGACCTCCTCACTCTCTCAGACCTCCTCACTCCCCTCAGACCTCCTCACTCTCTCAGACCTCCTCACTCCCTCAGACCTCCTCACAGACTCAGACCTCCTCACTCCCTCAGACCTCCTCACTCCCTCAGACCTCCTCACTCCCTCAGACCTCCTCACTCTCTCAGACCTCCCTCACTCTCTCAGACCTCCTCACTCCCTCAGACCTCCTCACTCTCTCAGACCTCCTCACTCTCTCAGACCTCCTCAGACCTCCTCACTCTCTCAGACCTCCTCAATCTCTCAGACCTCCTCACTCCCTCAGACCTCCTCACTCCCTCAGACCTCCTCACT